ATAGAGTGTGTAATGCCCACTCCATCCTCTATAGAGTGTGTAATGCCCACTCCAACCTCTATAGGGTGTGTAATGCCCACTCCACCTCCTATAGGGTGTGTAATGCCCACTCCATCTTCTATAGTGTGTAATGCCCACTCCATCCTCTATAGAGTGTGTAATGTCCACTCCATCCTCTACAGAGTGTGTAATGCCCACTCCATCCTCTGTAGGGTGTGTAATGCCCACTCCACCTTCTATAGAGTGTGTAATGCCCACTCCATCCTCTATAGAGTGTGTAATGCCCACTCCACCTTCTGTAGGGTGTGTAATGCCCACTCCACCTTCTGTAGGGTGTGTAATGCCCACTCCATCCTCTATAGAGTGTGTAAAGGTTGCTCCATCTTCTATAGAGTTTGTAATGCCCACTGCACCTTTTATAGTGTGTAATGTTCACTCCATGTGTTACAGAATGTGTAATGTCCATTGCACCTGCAACAGTGTGTAGTGCCTGCTCCATCCTTACCAGAGTGTGTAATTCCCACTCTACCTTTACCAGGCTGAGTAATGCCCACTGCACCTTCTATAGAGTGTGTAATGCTCATTTTATCTTCACCAGAGTGTCTAATGCTCACTTCACCTTTAATAGAGTGTGTAAAGCTTGCACCATCCTTACCAGGCTGTGTAACACTCCCTCCACCTCTACCAGGCTGTGTAATGCCCACTCCATCTTTACCCTAACCTTCACCATCTGAAATCTCAGGTGCTTCTTTTAATAAATTCAAAAGCAGCACCTGTTTGTTGCTTAATTAATTCACCTTAATTCTGTTAAGAATGGAGTCAGCTGCAGTTCCTGAGACAGGCTGTCGTTTAGTGACTGATGAGGATGTTTATCTACAATTTACCTCAGCAGTTCAAATTTTTATGGAACTATTCAAAAGTTATCTCACGTGCAAGTAGTCCCTGTAAAAACTCAGGTGCTTTCTGATGAACTCCATCTATTGTTTTGTTCTGGAAGCACCCAGAATGTGTTAAACATTTTACACATCTACCAAAAAAAATCCCCCTTTTTAATGTTTTTTTCCTAAAAATCTCTTAATCACAAAGGTAGCTTGTCACAGCACAAAAATAACTTTAGAAGGGCTGTTACTTTTCTCCATTCTTACTTAAAAGACAATCTGGGAGGAAAATAACCCACTCAGAATAGATAAACTCGAACTTCTCTTTTCCTAATATAGAAGTTTTCTGGACCTTGGTTTAATGTTATCTATTCATGTGGTTTATACTCTTAAATACAATTTTAAGAGTCTCACAAATTTTTAGAAGAGGTTACAGTGATTCTCCCAGGAAGTGTGAGGCTTTCCTGTGTTCTGTTTGAATTTCACAGGTTCAGTAATTAGTAACCCTCCAGAAATGCCATGAGTAAATAAAAATTATTATATAAATAAAACTATTACATTGTCCTTGGCATACCAGAGTTAAATGTGTAATGGTAGCACTTCATGTTAATGGTGTGGGACTGAAGAAACTGCTTCTAAAATACTTCAAAATTCACAGACTGGTTATAAGAAAGATGCCTGGAAAACTTAATTCATGGAAATCCTTTTGAATACTCTTGGACAGCTGAGAGCAGGACTCTAAACTATCAGACAGCAAACCCAGTTTTCTCCATGCTGCTGCCAAAACCTCCAGCTCTTCTTTTCCTTCATTTTCTCTTTTGTATTTATATCCAAACGTGCAGTAGATAGGAATTATGCAGATTAAATTACCTTTCTGAAGTATTAATAAGCACAGGTTGTGAATCCTGCATATTAAATCAAATAGTCCATATTTTGGCTTGTTGTATTAAAGAAGTTGGGTGCTGACAGTTGCACACACACTTTTCATGTTGGTTCTCCAGTTCCTCCAGTATCTCCTGATTCTCTTGGTGAATTTACATCAGGGGTGTGATGCAATTAAATAATTCAGATACCTGAAAACAGGTGAGCAGGTAAGAGACCACTGAGGGAACTCTGCATGTGTGTATACTTTAGGAAAAAATGATGTTCACTTAAATGACTTTCCAGTAATTTCTCTCAAAAATGAATTATCTCTTTATGAAGCTGTGAGCATGTGTTTGATAAAACAACATGAAGAAATTAAAATCCAGCTGTTTGGATTTACCTGCTTAGTAAATGAAGAGTTTAGAGCATTAGAACACAAAAGTTATGTCCTTTGCTGTTTACTGCTTGTCCTTCACTCTGCTTGGTCTCTTAAATTGGTAAATGGTAAATATCAAACAAGGGAGACTTCAGTTTATAACTAAAACTTCAGAGGGCATCAGCAAATTGTGCAGAGAAATACTTTATGTGCATTTGGTAAGTATTTAGGATATGAGGAATTTGTTTTGTTGTTTGCTGTGTTTTTATTTTTAAAATCCAACCACAACCCTCCCCTGTCTCTCCCAGCTTATAAAATTGAACTTAATGGCATTGTGCTTTCAAATTTGTCATAAAAGTGTAATGAATCTGGTGATCAATAACAAACTGTTGTGTTCTTTCAGTGCTGAAGAAGTAATTTAATAGCTGAGGTTTACAAAGTCAATTCTCCTCTCAGTATAAATATCAATTATCTGTTACATTTAATGATTCTCTCTCCTGTTTCACAAACACTGTGCTCAGCTTTGCATGGGGAATAATCAGTGATTACAGAGGGACCTGTGTGTCTGAATGTGTGAGTTTGCAAGGCCTGGTGCTGCTAATCCAGAATTGTGGGGCATTAACCAAGGATTTTCTATTCTGAATATTTTCTATTCCCAATAGTTTCTATTTCTGCTCAGGGCTGCTCAGTTTTGAGCAGGTTTTTGGATCATAATTCCACTGCTGGTGCTCCAGCCCCTTCCCTGGGCACGCTCCAGCCCCTCCAGGTCCTTTTTGTCCTGAGGGGCCCAGAACTGGGCAGAGGATTGGAGGCGCCCCAGGAGTGCCCAGAGCTTTGCCCTGGGACAGCCCAGGTGCCCTTGGCCCCTGGCACACCTGGGCACACCTGGGCACACCTGGGCTGGTTGGTGCCCAGCTGATGCCACCCGCACCCCCAGGGCTTTGTCCACCTTGTGCAGCCTCCAGCATTCCCTGATGATGGTGGCCCAGGGTAGGACCCAGCACTTGGCCCTGCTGATGTTCTGTGCCAGAATTTTGCCTGGCACTGAGTTCAGGCTGACAGGGCAGTGAAGTAAACAGGGCAGGAGATGTTTGTGTCCTTTTTAATGGCTTTATTAAAAATCAGCTCGGGTGGGAAGAACCGAGGGCTTGCACTCACAGTGCTGCTGCTCCCAGGAATGGCACAGAGGAGGAGGAACAGTGCAGCTTTGTCCACTGGTCTGCAGGCAGAGCTGGGGCTTCCATCCTCACAAGACCATCAGGAGCTTGCCAGTTTTTCAGTTTCACATTCGAGGTCCGATGTCCCCTCTTCTCCATCCTCCAGGAAGCAGCAGGGTGTCACTGACAAAAGGGGGATTCCCAGCCATCAACAACAGGTGGATTGTCACAGACATCTTTTATGAAAAATCCTTTCCTTAGGATTTTTTCTTCTGAGAAGCTGAGAGGCCTCAGGAACAAAATGTAAACATTGATTATCTGCTGCTGTGGAATGCAACAGGTGCATCTGTGATTGGTCTCATGTGCTTGTTTCTAATTAATGGCCAATCAAAGTGAGCTGGCTCAGTCAGAGAATCTGAGCCACAAGCCTTTGTTATCATTCTTTCTTTTTCTGTTCTTATCTTAGCCAGCCTTCAGATGAAATCCTTTCTTCTATTCTTTTAGTATAGTTTTAATATTATATATATAATAAAATAATAAATCAGCCTTCTGAAACATGGAGTCAGATCCTCATCTCTTCCTCATCCTAAGACCCCTGTGAACACCGTCACAGTAGTTAATGAAAATGACAGGTGATTACAACAATTTGTTGTTGTACAACAATAACAGTTACAACTCTACTCTGGCAGCAACTGACCCAACCTGTGAACTCTGCAACCTTTTAAAAAAATGGGCAACTTTTCTACTCATAACAGGCAGCATTTCCCTGGACCCTCCTTCCAGCCCAGCTCCTGGATGGGCATCACTGAGCTCAGCTCACGGATTGCTGAGCTCAAGGGTGGGAAGTGTTGGGGTGAGCTCTGCCCCCCTCCCTCAGCAGCCTGGGGTGTGTCCCACGGTCTGCAGCAGGATGCCAACCATTCCCCTTGGGTCATGGGCCTTCATTCTGCTCCCTGCCCCTGCTTTCCAGCCTGGGGACCCTGAGGACAGCGCCATAATTCCCTCAGCATTTTCCTCATCTTTTGTCACTGTTTCTCCCTGATCCAATAAAAATGGAGATTCTCCTTAGCAATCCTTTTGTTGCTGATGTATTTATAGAA